AAATATCGCAATGTGTACAGTGAAAGTGACCCATTCCCAATTGTATTTACAAGATTGTACTCGTGCATGAGCACTGATCACGATGATAACTTGCACATATATTACATATATTATATCCGATACATGCATGTACATTTTGCGCTTATCGGCAGCGGTATGAGCCTCCCTCGTCGTGAACATGTACAAGCGGCGGGGGAAAGGCGGCACTCATCAGCCGCACGGTCACATCCGCCAAGATCTCAATCGGCAGTTGACCATATCGGGATACCTACCTAGGCGCCAATTGAGCCCTCTTCGGACATGTTGACTGTGCCGCTGGGGACAGTGCTAATGTAGGGCGCGGAGGTCTGATTAAATACATTTACCTCTACTATAATGACCCGCGTGCGAGAGGAAGAAGCGAGTGGCAGCACAGAGGACGCGACACAAGGAGGCCATGGCGAAGTGGGAGCAGGAGAAGCAGCTTCCCAAGCAGCAGCATCAGGCAGCGGCGATGATCAAGCCATTGCTTGGCCCAATCGAGCGCGCACTTACGAAGCGTCTACGAGAGAGAAGGAGGCTGCCGAGGAGAACGAGAGCGAGGAGGATGAAAGCGAGGAGGAGGACGAGGAGGACGGGGACGAGGACATGAATTTGGACAACTGATTAGATTATTTGATTATCATAATTGTTATATCGGGCTTATCTGAGCGTGATGTGACCTGTCCCGAGGACTAGAGGTCCGATAACGAGATTTCGAACTGATTCACCTCGATCCCAGCATATACCAATACGAGTGCCTATTGGTGCGAGGACATAGCAGGTTAAGTACTTATACTACCATTGGTGCACCCCGATTAACGGACAGGAAACCCAGCACTCCACGGGAAGGGCCGCACAAATTGGCTGTCCCGAGGAGCCATATAAGACTGTAGGAGGGTGCGGTGAGTCGACCCTACGAGAGTGGTCAGCCCAACCTAGCTATATGAAGCACATCAAAAACTGACCGACTGGCGACCTGAAGCTTGAAGATTTGTCGCACATGCGCACAGCGGGTTATTACGAGATCATGTATATGCCAGTAAGTAGTACAAAAAATCCATCCAGATGAGCAGCATCTATGGTACAACGATCACCTCTAGCCATAACACCACCAAGCACAAGCAACGTCAGCTCAGCCGCTCTCGCGAACCTCATCAACGTGTCTCAGCGAGGCGCGGCAGCAGCAAAGAAGCAAAACATGGAGACGTCTAGGGCAAGGTCCTCAGAGGCGCCACGACCACGAGAACACGGCGGTCTTCTCGACGACCCACTGCAACCAAGGCCAGTCATCGTCGTCACCGTCGTCGTCACCGTCGCCTGGCGCAGGCTCAGTCGGCGGCTCCGGCTCGCCCGCCTTCTTGCACTGCTTGGGGAGCGCGTGCCCGTTGGTGCGCACGCCTCCGCCCCACGGCGTGCGGTTCTTGACGGCCGCGTCGACGCCGAGTCCGCGCGCTGCGAAGCCCTCCCAGAGCTCGCACAGGTTCTCACCACCAGTAAGCGCCTGGTCGGCCGCGATGATCGCGTCGCGCGCATCGAAGAACGACGGGCGGCACGGCTGCAGCTTCATACCGTCGAGCACGAGCTGGAAGATGAGCGAGTTTCCATGCTTGGGCACAAGGGGCTTGGGCTTGCCATCCGCGGTGAACTCGGCCTTGCGGTAGAAGTCGCCCTCGGGGATCGTACCGTCCTCAAGCGGCTTGGGCGGGAAGAGGTCGTCGACGAAGCCGTGCTTCTCGATGAGCTTCTGCGACACGACCCAGAGGATCTGCGCCCAGACCTCGCCGATCGCGTGCACGCCCCAGTAGCCGGGCTTGTCGAGCGTCTGGTACGTTGAAGGGTTGACGGTCTCGTTCTGCATAGGAAATGTGTTTAGTCTCGGAGACACCACGCGCGAATGAGTCGATACGCACCAGGGAGTACGGGTAGTTCCGGATGCCGTTGTCGCGGTTGGCAGCCCACGAGCCCATGGCGTAGTCGGAGTAGTTCTTGTTGCTGCGGATGGTCGTAGCCAGGAAGTCTGAGGAGGCACATCAGTGAGGGCTTTGGCTTCACACTGGTAAGATAACTCACCACCCCAGCCTTCGCCCATACCGCCAGCCTCGCCCCAGCCGAGACAGCCAGAGTTCGCAGGACCACCGGTGAGACGAGTGCTCAACCCGTGGGCCAACTCGTGGATGACGATGCCGGCCTCCAGGTCACCATCACGGTAGGGGTTCGCGGTGTTCCAGAGATACATCCGGCAGCGACCGTTCTGGCCATCAGGCGGCGTCATGAAGTTGGCGTTGTTGTACCCGCTGCCGTCCTGCGCGTTAGCGATGACGGCGTCGTTCTCCTGACCGCCACGGCCGAAGTTGTGCTGCTGGAAGTTGCCCGAGACTTCGTTGAACCCGTACCGGTAGAAGAGATCGTGCACCAAATTCGACGTGTAGAACAACTGCGTCACGGTCGCGTTGATGTACTTCTGGGCCTCCTCAAGAGCGTCGGTCGTGTCCGTCTTCTTCGGCGAGTACTTGAAGTCGAACGCCTTGCTGGAGCCGGCATCCGGGCGGTAGTTGTTCACCCAGTTGTTGCGGCCCTCCCAGTCCTCGTGGGCGAAGACGTTGTTACCCCACGTCGTGGTGGTGTTGCGGATCTTCGACGCATCCTTCGGACGGACGCTCTCGGAGTGGGGGTCGTTCGCGTAGGGCAGCGCGTGCCATCCGAGAGGAGACGCAAGAGCATCAAAGTTCTCCTTCTGGATCGAGCGTTCACCGACCGACGGGTCGTTGATGCCCCAGGCGAATACGTTGTAAGTCGCACCCTCGGAATCCTTCGGGACAGGAGCTACGGGGACGGGAGAGTCGGACGCCCAGTCCACGACCGAGATGATGCGGTGAGGAGCCTCGGCGGAGACCGCGGCCTCGTACCAGTTGTCCTTCATCTCAACCTCGAACTACGTGCACGTCAGAAGTGTGACGTGATGCGGGGGAATGAAAGACCAACCTTGAACACAAGCTGGAGAGTCGTCGAGTTACCTTCCGGCACCTGGATGAACGCCAGCCGTCCCTTCACGGGGTTGACGGCGTCGGGAGCGTTCTCGATGGTGAAGAACGGCTGCTCCGACATGTGGTGCTCGAACGATACGTGCATCTTAGGGATGAACTTGGACGGGTCGTCCATGATCTCCTGCTGCAGGTCCTCACTGGGCGTAGCGGCCAGCATGAACTGCAAAAGAGCACGAGAGATATCGCGGGATGCGACGTCCTCGGCAGCGGAGAACTCGATGTCCTGCGCCATTATATCTGGCGCGTCGACGAAATTGCAGTTCCACTCGTACAGGTATGACAGCTGCTCAAGAGCGGAGGCCTCGACTGGAGCCTTGCGAGAGGTACGATCGACCTGCCGGAGCTGAGAAGCAATCTCGTCCTCGAGGGTGCGACAGTAGTCGGCATGAGGGTCAACCTTGCTGCTCACAGCGTCGGCAACGTTGAAGGTAGTGGTGGTCTTCGGACGGAAGAACTGTCATGAGGAGTGTGAGCATATCAAGCAATGAACTAGAAAGGGGGCGGTAGGGTACGCACCGAATCGCCGTAAGAGAGGACTACGCCATCCTTGATGTTGACGTTGATGTCGCCATCAGCGACCTCGATGCCGTTGATGTACTGGCGGACGTAAGCGTGGGTGATACCGGTCGCCTCGTCCGTGTACGAGTCCTTGCGAACGACAAAGTCGCTGCCACGGATATCGCGGACGAGGTCCTCCACGAAGAGGCGGGCGACGTCGAGAGGGTCCTCAGACGCGCGGAGAAGGCTGGTGTGGTACACCGGGTTGGTATGGTAGGACGCGTGGGGGTGCACGGGGCCGAAACTGAGGGTCTTGCGACGCGAGACATTGTGTGAGTCGTGAGCGAGGGTGCCGGCGAGGCCCGCGGCGGCGAGAGCAGCGACGAACAAACGACGCATGCTGAAGGAAGGACTTAGTTGGGTGGACGAGTGGTGAAGATGCTCCCCAACGGCGAAGAGGGGGAGGTGGTGGATGGGGGGAAAGGAGGAGGTTGCGTATGTCGCCGACCTTATCTACCCCGCGCCACGCGATGCTGGCAACCCATATATGGCGAGACAACCGCCCAAAGTGGTTCCGCAGGTCGCCCTTCACACCCCGTCACATCGCGACGCGCAACCCCGCATACACAGCCGCCCATATGACTCTCCTGCTATCGGTCTCTGCCCCGTCCGTGCTCTGCCTTGCTCGTGTGCAGAGGTGCACAGATGCGTCTAGCTCTACGCCGCGTGCGCTTCACAGCCCGCAAGCCCGCTTCCGAATGCATCTGAACGACCGATAACGGGCGTGTACTAATACAGCTTGCTGGCAGCACGCCACCGTCATGACATCCTGCGTGGATCACACGAGCCGGGGTCACTCCGTCTCGAGGCACCCTTCTCCCGTCCGTCCATATTTGCTGTGCACGGTGGAACTGCGGGCAGCTTCGAGGTGCACAAGTCGCTTTCTCATTGGGCAGAATGAACTCGTCTTCTGACCCGCAGGCTTCTTGGATCGTGGCCAGCGCTCTCAGACATATACGGTTCACAAGGATATGTCATGATCGCGTACACTCTGCGGCGTGCCTGCGGTCTATCGCGATTTCCTTGTAGCTTCCCAGCTTCCCCCACGCCCGCTCTATCCCTGTTCTCACCAGTAGAGACCACGTACACATCTACGTGACTTGTGTTTCGGAAACAACTGTTAGTGAGCTGCCTGCATCGAACCACCTCGATGCGACCTTTCTCCCATTGCTTCTATTGACTTGATGAAAGCGCTGCGTAGGTCTATACCTCAACGTTTCTACGTCGGAATTCAATCGGACTCGGATTACGCGTACGGGGAGGAAAGGAATCTAGCTAACATCGGGGCGCTCAAGTACTGTTCAGACTGAGACTGTTATGTGGTCGGCCGTCAGAAATCGGATCCAAACATATACTGCGCTGTACCGCACAGTGCCAGCTTGGATGGCTCAGTTGGTTAGAGCGCAGGTCTCATACTTACGTATGACCGCTTACACCAGTGGGTAATCCTGAGGTCATGAGTTCGATCCTCATTCCGAGCACTTTTTGCACCCTTGACGTCGACCTCCAACCGAGCCATGCAAGTGATTTTCCATCAGTGGGCTGTATGTTACAGGTTGCCAATTTTACACGTATTGCAAGGTTCAAGGAGATCGGACCCGGGCATACTCGATGTGTGGAATTGTAATGGAAGACGAGTTGCGGCCAGCGCGAGCTTAGTTCACAAGAGAGTACCCGACCTCCCCACCCACACTCTCCTGCAGCCGCACGATACGCTCCAGCATCGCCCGTCCACGCGCATCCAGCGTGTCCGCGAACGGCGGCTCCTTCATCCACCGCAGCCCGTGCTGCAGGATGTTCCGTGCGCGCGTGGGGCCCCCGCGCGCCTCGCCTATGCACGCGTGCAGCGTGATCCGTGGGGCGGCCGCGTCGTACGTCGCGCAGTGCAGGATATTGTTGTTGTAGAAGACGGTCTCCCCCGGGCGGAGCGAGACGCGCACCGCGCCGGGCATCGTGAGCGGGTCGGTAGGCGGGTCGAGTGTGGAGGAGAGGGCGCGTTGTGCGGGCGTGCGAGGCGTTTTGTGCGAGCCGGGGACGACGTAGAGGCACGAGTCCTCGCGGAGGGCGCTGGAGGAGCATAAGTATGGGGTAGGGGCTTGTGGCGGGTAGTGGTAGTGAACCTACGTGTTCCATTGCGTCTGTTTGTAGCCGTGTCCCATGTTAGACACCGTCGACGCATCGGCTAGCCGATGTGTGCACTTACGCCGTGATGCCATATACTCAGAGCTTCTTGCTCTTCGTCCTCGGTGGCGTTCTCCCGGACATCATCACGATGCCACCGGAGCGCGAACGAGTTCGACGTCGGGTTTATCAGCATATTGAACAACTCTGCGTCCGAAGGCCGATTAACCCTGAAGATCTCACGTAGCACACACGGAAACGAAACGCGCACCCATCTGCAGGTCGTCCTCCACACACCCCAGCAACTCCTGCACAACGCCCACGAGCGCGTCAGACGTGTACCACCGCGCGAACGCCGGCTCGCCCAGGTCGGGGTGCATGACGTGCTGCACGCCCCACGAGTCGGGGTCGCCATCCCCGTACGGCGGGAACTGCCGCCCGACGGTGCGTCTGTGCGGCCACTGGCCGGTGCGCGTGCGTGTGATAACACGTTCCGACGCGGTCTCGAGTGCCTTGAACTGCTCGGGCGGGATGAGGCCGGGGACGATCACGTACCCCTGCTCGTCGTACTGCTGTTTCAGAGACTTAGAGGATGTTATGGTGGGGTGCGCGGACATGGATGTGCGATAAGGCTGCGGCTGGAGTACATACCAGAGATGATATCGATATGTGTACTAGTGTTGGTGAGCAGCTGACCGACTTGAAGCTCCAGACTCGACCTCCCGGTAGCATTCTTGACTTGGTTGTGCCATGCTAGCTGCAAGATTGCCATGCTCTAATTACCCTCGGCAAAAGATTACTCTGCAGAGGTCGATGCATACTGAAACCGTCGAGAAAATCAAACCAGATAGCACTGGCCCGGGGGGGGGGGGCTTGCAATTCCCGATAATCTGGATATTTGGCGACCAGGAAGACCAAGACTGGATTTCACGCTGATTTTTGGCTTTACCCAGGGATCTGACGCAGATGCATGCGATTAGTACTGGCGAGTCAGAGTGTACTGGCCATTGGTCGACACTGGGAGTGGTCGAAGTGAGAGTGCGCACCGGCGCGCGGCGGCATGAGCGAAATTCGCGAACACCCTCGCGGCCACGGTGCTCCGGATATTAGGCGCTCTATGCTTAGCCACAACGTCGGTGCAGCGTGCCCAACATTGCAAGCGCCCTCTCTCACTCCGACCACTACCACCGTACGCGTTGCTCGCTCGCGCGCATCGGGGACCTCGCACATTGCTTGTGACCTTGGATGTTCTTATTTCGGTGAGTAGGTTAAGCAGTGTCGTAAGCGCGAGAAGCGGACCATGCGTATAACATGCTGGAATCGGCCCACGCCGACCGCGTGCTGCACGTTAGGTTCTGCGCATATAACCTGCCCATTCTTGACTGACACTTCCAACCAGGAGTTGACATGAACGCCACAGCATCCACCTCGGCGATGCCAGCGAACAGCGAAGAGGACGTGTTTCTCCACGTTACGGAAAGGCTGATTCGCATCGGTGCCGTTCCCGTCCCACTCTACCTCCAGGAGCCCGCTCTCGCTGCCCTATCACGGAACGCTTTCGCTGCGCCGCCCAATCAACTGAACACGGCCCCAGCCCCCGCCGCTGAGCCTACCATCACACGAGCGGTGGCGCGTTTGCATCAGGCGTGCCAGCATACTTTCGGGAGCACGGAGGCCCTGAGATACGAGTTCGAGGAGGACGCAGCGACCTTCGGTGAGTGCCACACTTGTGATGGTTGTTTCCGCGCCTCACGTTGCCTAGGGAAACGCTGCAAGCTCACGATTACACGACCGAACGGCACTTCGCGCGTATACCACTCTCCCACTGCGCACCAGCGCAAGTACGATGCGAAGGCGCACGTGTCCACAGTCGCGCTCGAGAACGGTGCAATCGACTTCATCATCTCTGGTGAGGGCACGGGCACGCCGGAAGCAGAGCAACCGCCACCGCCACCTCAGCCAGAGGTCGAATATGTAGCCGAGATGGATGAATCTGTCAAGTCCATAGAACAGACTTGTCTCAGTCGAACATCTGGTCGTATCAAGCCGTTCTGGTTACTCATCAGTGAACCCAAGTTCGGACGAAGTACGTATACCCTAGTATGTGCGCATACACCCACAATTCTGACTCTTCGCTGCGATGTTCAGCACAGGGTTGCGCTCTGCGTATACGGTTTGGCCCCCGCAACTCAAGGGTATATTCCGTCAATACGATTTACAACAGCGCCGCGGAGGCGAAGAAGGCGTGCGCGGAAGTTGCTCTCGCTGACGGCGTCCTGGACTACATCACGACGTGGTCATCCTCTAGTTCAGACATGGTCGTCGACGAGCCAGGCTCGGAATTCCCCAACTCCTCCATAGGGCTCCAACAGTTCTTCGATGCTCTTCCACAACCATTCCCCGAGCAAGTGGCGGGGAAGACTGCTCTGGACATCAACGGGCCTGCCTGGCTCAATACCACCATCCAGTCTGCGCGTGGAGGGAAGATCGTTCCCAACTTCGTGTGGACTGTCGACACCAGGCTTGGCTGTGAGTTTCAGGCGCGCACGTCATGTATCATAATTGCTAACGACTGTACAGATCATGGATGTCTTCTGCGTCTTGAGCGACCCGGTGAAGTCAAGTCATATCTCGTTGATGCTCGGTTCTCTAAGCGCGCGGAGGCCAAGGCGGCCGTGTGTTTGCTTGCGATGTCGGAGGGCGTCGGCGACTATATCCGCAGCGTTGCGAAGGCCATCGAAGACAGGCTGCCGCCCTCGTTACGGAAGCAAGCCGCCGAAGTCCTTACTCCTTTGCTAAACGGCGAGTATCGTAAGGCTCACGGGCCAGGCATGCAACCGCATATCGAATACGAAATGGACCTAGATGGTCAGTCGTTCCCTTGTCCTTACGTGTGCGGGTCACTGAGCGATGTACAGCGTGTGGAGCCACGATGATCGTCGAACTATGTCCGTCGCCGACACCTGAGCAGGTGCGGAAGTACACCGTCCCTGCTGAGTATCGTAATCGCAACGATGCGAAGCTTGCTGTGATCGCGCGCGCCGTCGAGGAAGGGGTCATCGAGTTTCTTCGCTACAAGGGCAGACCTCCGCCCCCCGGCTATATCCCGTACTACGCGCAGCAGCAGGATAACCAGTTCGCGAACCGGAAGCGAAAACACTGGGAAGGTGGCGGCACCGGTGGCGAGTGGGGGGCCGGTCCAAGTGAGGGGGGCTGGCAGAACTTCAAGAAGCCCCGTATCAACGGGGGCTACAACAATCACCAAGGTATGCAAGGCGGTGGGTTCATCCCGCAGGGGCAGGGAAACCAGAACCAGAGGCCAATGTGGAACGGGCAGAAGAAGTTCGCAAACAATATGTCCTGGTCGAGACCCAACGCTCCTGGTCCGGGCCAATTTGGCAACGCGGCGGGCCCCATGCACCCTGTCGGCCACTTTCAGCCTGGGCCTAGGAACGTCGGCGTTGGCGTACCACCTGCGCCGCCTGCCGCCCGCATGCCGTATCCGGCGGTGGGCGGCGGTGGCCCCATGCCTCCTCAGCCTGCTCCATATGGGTATCCTGTAGGCGGTATACCTTCCACGCCAGCTCCGTTCTATGGTCAGGCACACCCGCAGGCACAGTTCCCGGGTGCGCCGATGCAAGTTCCTCAGTATGGCGCGCCGAATGGGATGTATGCTGGGTACTATCCTCCTCAACCGCAACCGCCGGTCACGAGTGTTCCGGCGCCCATGCCTTATCAGCAACAGCAGCAGCAATATCCGTACGGTGCTACTTATACCTCCTTTCCCGGCCAAGGCCAGGTCTCGGGGTATCAGTCGTACTCGTCCGCCCCCGTGCAGTACCCGACTCCTGCGGCACAACCTGTCTACTATCCTCAAACCGGTGTCCCTATGCCCGCATCTGCTCCTACGCCCCCTGTTCCGCCTATGTCTGCCTACTACCCTGGCGCGTCGGGTATTCCGGCGGCGAACAACACGGTGGTTGCTGCGGCGAACACCGCGCATGCACCATACCAATCACCGCACGCGCTTCAGCTACCCACTCAGCCTACTCCTCCTGCTCGACCGACTCCTCCTGTTCAGCCCACTCCCCCTGCACCTGTGCTGCCTGTGCCTCCTGTTGTGCAACCGCCGCCGCCTCCGGCTGTCCCTGTGCCTCCAGCAACACAGCCCCCGCCCCCACCTCCGCCGACTCAACCTCCTCCACCTCCTCCACAACCGGCCCCACCATCCGTTGCCCCACCTCCGCCACCTCCACTCCCACCGTCTGCCTCTCCTCCGAACCCCCCGACCAACAACGGTCCCCTCTCGAAGAGTCAGGTCAAGTCACAGTCCACGCCTCCTGTTCCCAAACCATCCAAT